AACTTTGAAGTTTCTAATAAAATTCTAATCATGATACCAAAAGGCGCCTCAATGTTTAAGAGTTCCACTTTTTTCCCTTCATTCTACTTAAGAAGTTTTATAATCTCCCCTGCTTATGTAATTAATGTCCTTGTCAGTGCTCTTAACCCAGAAGTATCTACTTAGTATATATAATTTTAGAAATGGCCCCTACAAATTCAAGAGGTGGCTCCCAATATAAAACAGTCTATCCCATCTAAAGTTCAAGAAGTGGCTCTCATGGCATATTATTTTGTTATGTATGATATTTAGTTCCCATTTTCAGGTTGGTGTAATGCTCTGATACCATTTGTAACTGCTTGAACTCTCACCCGAGATATTTTCCACTTTGGCCTCATGTATTTGTCCCATTTGTGTAATTTCTTAGAAGATAACCCATCCCAGGTGTGCTCCTGCATGCGCATGCTTAACTCTGCAATTTTTGGTGAAATTTCAGCCGTTGCACCAAAAGTCGTCATGATGTTTAAAAGTTTTGCTTTATTTTTTGAAAGGGGTTTCACATGCTTATAAGATTGGAGTTTCTCAAGGGTTCTTTTTACCCTTTTTAAGATTGGAGTTTCACAAGGTCTTTAAAGATGATATATTATCATTAAATGAAGATTATGTGTTTTCATGACCATGCATGTTGCTTTACTTCATTGTCTTTTCTCTATTCGTCATTTTCCTTGATTATTCTTTCTTACCTAAGTAAAAATAATTAGTAGTTCCGACCTCTCACCACTGATTCTTTCTCATGTATTCTCTTTCTTTCCTTGTTAGTCTCTCTTTAATTATAAAAAAAAGAAAAAATTCCTTTTTATCCGCTCTCTATTATTCAATTTTGTTCTCTTATATTTCTCTATTCGATTCTTCATTTTCCTTGATTATTCTTTCTTACCCAAGCAAAAATAATTCTCAGTTCCGTTCTCTCAACACTGATTCTCTCTCCAGCATTCTGTTTCTTTCTTAGTTTCTCTTTAATAAAAATGCATTCCTTTTTATCTTCTATCTTTTTTTCAATTATATTCTCTTATATATCTCTAATTAGGTAGCTAATAACGATAATAGTACGATCTTCTAATCAGGCAAAAGGAGCAGCCAGTGATTTACTCAGCATCAAAACCGTGCAACCCAAACCTCGATCATCAATCAATTGAGACAGCACTTTACCAAACAATTTCAGCCGCAATACTTCTATACATCCTCAATATTGACACCCGCACCAAAATTCTGAATACTCTTGAACATAGGTTGCAATCCACTCATTAGTCTTGTGTCAGTCAACTCAAGAATGAGTTGCAGAACATCTCCCTGAAAAATCAATCAATGACACACCCTTTAGGAAGGCAAAACCCCAATCGACATATTAGATAACTTGCGTAGTCCATCACCATATTTTGGCAGAGAATGTTATAGCTTGCTACAGGACCTCCTTACCAAGTCACCATATCTGCAAGGGAATTCTACCCATACCCTACAATAATCGTACTTTTCCAACACTCCTACATGTACTGCACGTTACCCAGAGCTTACGATTTATTAAACTTGAACATTTAACTTTTGATGATAATTGCTCCATTTCCTATATCTCGTCTGTCTTCTCCATCAAGGATTTGAATAAATTCAATTCTTCTATGGGGACCCAAGTGTAATGGCTTCTTCAACCTTTATACCTGCCTGCTTCATGACGCCTGCTGTTTGGTTGTGCCACCACAAATCTTTGGTACAACTGTTCTGGTCATCTCCAAATTTCTGCATTCTAATCTGTTTAAACACCTCAATTTTCTGCTTATCCCACCTGCTTTAACTTCTTGCACTGCTTCAAACTCTACTAGATGTCATCGGCTTCCTTTTCCAAGTTCGCTCGACCAATATAAACCTTTAGAGTTAATACACTCCTATATATGGGCTCCATTCCTGGCCACTGCTGTACTCTTGTACAAATATTATTTCTTTTTATTGGTGCATTTTCTTATTTGTTGAATGTATCAAATTTTTAACAAATCTGAAGTGATGCAAAAATTTCTTCTCTTCAAAGTAATGGTAAAAGAACAATTTAATAATATAATTAATTTTTTTCATTCTAACTGAGGTGGCAAATGTAATAACCACTCCCTCAATAGTTATCTCCAAAATCCTAGCATCATTCACCAATTCAGTTGCCCGTACACAATATAAAAAAGTGATCTTGTCGAACGGGAACACCAACATCTAATTGAATCCACTCGAACCCTGCTCCATGAAGCTCACCTACCATTCAAACTATAGGTTGATGCTCTCTTTACAACCACATTCTCAGTAGCTAATTACCCTTCTTTGTCGCTTCCACGAATCTCTCTACTAGCTACTGTCTCCATGACCTCCAAACTCGAACCATTTCTGCATCTTTGGATGTTTATACTTTCTTTGGCTTCAACCTCAATCCAGCCACAAACATACTCCCCGCTCCGATGAGTTTAATTGGCTACTCAGTTGCCTACAAAAGTTTTTAATGCCTAAGCCCAATCACCGGCATGAAAATAATCTCTCATCACTTCGTCTTTGATGAGTCCACTTTTTCCTACATTGAACTCCAAAACCTCTCACCAGTCTCACAGCCACCCTTACTTTCACAACCTACTTACCTAACTTCTTACCTCCCACTAACAATACTCTGCTCCCTCCCCAGTTGACCCTCCCAAATTCTCCATGAAACCCACAACCCACTCCCACTAACACTCCATCCACCTTCAGTGCCTCACATTCACTGGAAAACATCCCCCCTTCAGTTGAATAACAATTTCCACTCCACCCAAACCTCTCCGGATTTTAACTTGATTCAAGATAGGATCACTATAGCCAAATTCCATTCTAAAGCTCCTCCATGATGACAACAGCTGCATTATCCCCAACACCTACAATCAAACTTATGGTCAAATTCACTAGCAGCAAGCTATGTCCATAGAAGTCTAAACCTTACCAAACACCCTCCTGCTCCCCCTACCCTTAGCAATGCGACACATCGTTTTAGGCTACTGATACATTTATTGCAAATTGACAACCGACTATCAGCCACTAATCTCTTAGTGCATCAAAAAGCAACCAAAAATGCAAGATCATCCATTGAAGCGGAATATAGAGCACCTGCCCCTGCTGCAACAAATATTTTCCAGCTTCACTGTCTATGAAATGGCTTCCTGATTCCCTCTCCCCAACCTAGACCTGTTTATTGCTACAAAATCTCTCCCTTGGCCATCGCCTGCAACTCAATTTTTCATGCTTGAACAAAACATATCAAAATCAACTATCATTTCATTTGCGAGCACTTATCATCTAAAGAATTGCAAATTGACAACCGACTATTAGCCACTAATCTCGTGGTGCATCAAAAAGCAACTAACAATTGCAAGATCATCCATTGAAGCGGAATATAGGGCACTTGCCCCTGCTTCAACAAATATTTTCTCTCCCCAACCTAGACCTCTTTATTGCTACAAAATCTCTCCCTTGGCCATCGCCTGCAACTCAATTTTTCATGCTTGAACAAAGCACATCGAAATCGACTACCATTTCATTCGCAAGCACTTGCCATCTAAAGAATTACAAATCCTATACATGCAGACATGCTAACAAAATAACTTTGCATCCTCTGTTGTGTTCTCTCTTCATTATATATGTTAACTGTAGTAAATCAAATGTATGAATTATAAGGGTATAAGTACCGCTACATGCTGTCTTTATTCCTTTCTGTGCCTTTGCCTGCTCTTCCTGTTTTACTCTTAGCCGCTTGCTCCTTGTTCAAAGCCAATATCTCCTCTCTCTAGAAAATTTCTCTCTCTCTCTAACAAATATTCTCTCTTTATAGCAACCTTCAATCACCTTTATCATATTTTTCTTATTCCCAACTAGGTAGTCGACATCCTTTTCTCTCTATCAAATGAAATATACACTGAACTATCCCTCATTCCTCTGTATATTTTGTAGAACAAGAATAACTTAGAGTTCTTTCTTCGTTCCTCTCTCTCTCTCTCTCCACTCTTGACCATTCTTTCTCTTAAAACCACAAACTTTCAACATCCACTCCCCCCAATTTATCTCTCTTAATTGTACAATTACCCACATTTTTATCTACATGATTCAAGCATGCCCAACCCCATCACAAAATACATTGTTTATGATACCGGAGTTAACTCAAAAATCACAATGGAAGATTACTTTACCGCTGAAATTAAAAGGGATTACAATTACAACACTTTAAAATGAGGAAAACAATGACACAACACCCAACTAGAGCGTAGGTTGGGGTGGTGGTGCTGCGGTTGGAGAGGTTGAGCCGGATGGGGGAGGAAGGTTGGCGGCTCAGTAGGGTAAGGAAGAATGAGGGATGGTTTGAGATGGCAGTTGGGGCGGTGTGGGCTGGCCGGCAGCTGGAAACTGGGAAGGTTGGTGGTTGGTTGGCCAGTGGCTGAAGGCAGGGTGGAAGGAGGTGGTAGGGTGGGAAGGCGGGGGTATGCCAGGGTGGCCAGCGGCTAGGAGCGGGAAAGGAAGGGGATGGCAAGGTGGTTGGTGATTGGAAGCAAGAAAGGAAGATGCGGGGTGGGGGGGAGTGGGGGCTGGGTGGGGCTGTGGGGGCATTTACCTTCTTACATTTGTACCAACCAAATCCTTATCACATAAAAATACCACCATTTTAACTTTGAAAAAGTGAAATGTTCCTTTTCATGTATAGGTAAAATGTTATGTATGTAATAATTGAAGTTTTGTTGTTACATATGTAAATGCATAGGAATTTAGTGGAATGTATGTAAATCTTTGATTTTTTTTTTATGCTTTAGCATAATTGTAGCACCTTCATGACTGTTTTTTATTATGATACGGCTGTTTTTCTATGATAAATAGTGGTTTATCTGATAGCTCGACAGAGCCGAACAGACATGGATTCCAGTATGTGTAAATGCATGATTGGGTGACTTAGCACTCGTTTCTTTCTTTTTTTTGTACAGACACAAGCCATGAGGCCTGGAGTGGTGCCATATCGAGGGATATTTTCTGCTTTGAAAAGGATTTCTGGTGAAGAGGGAATCAGAGGACTCTATAGGCACACAGCATTTTCTTGCTTTAAACCTAGGCTTGAAAAAGGTGTATTTCACTTTTAAAAAGTGGCATTAGTGTTATTTTTGATGTGATGTTGAAAATTTAAGTGCTATGTGTGTAAAAATGGAAGTTTAGGTCTGAGATATGTAAATACATGAGATCTGTGTGCTATGTGTGTAAATGCCCCTGTAAAATATCATCAGTCTCATTCAATGTTTGAACTAACACGCAGTCTGTGCATTGGTAAACAGTGGTCTTCTTCCTGCTTTAGCTGGGGTTAGTCATGTTGCCATCCAGTTTCCAACATATGAGAAAATCAAAGCTTACTTAGCAGAAAAAGGTCACGATTTATTTTTAGTTTTTTTCTGATTTTAAGTACTCTATTCTGTTCCATTGATTAGGCATATATTTATTTTCTTAAAGTTATTTTTTATGCTCAGATAAGACAACTGTTGATAACCTCAGTCCTGGAAATGTAGCAATTGCCTCTTCAATTTCCAAAGTAATTGCATCGACTCTAACCTATCCTCACGAGGTATATTTTTGCCTTAATTGCATAAAGCAAGACAACTTTACTTTCTCTTAATTTGCAATTTGAGCCCTTTTTAGGGGGTGGGTGGATTATCCATAATCCGCTCACCCAAAAGGCTTTATGTTCAAGACATTCTTGTCTTACCTATCCACTGAAATTGTCCGCCCCCTTATGTTTATAGGAGACTTATTGCTTCTTGGCTTTTGGAGATGTTAATGTCTGTTATAAAGGCTTTTTATGGCATTAGCTTATTATGGATAAATTTTTACACATCAAGTGCGTGTATAGAAGAGTTAAAAGATTAACGAAAAAGACCCTTGAAATTTGGAAATGTTGAACTTTGTAAAATTAGAGCCGTTTGGTTTAGCTTTTTAATAGTTTTGGTTTCCAGTTATTTGCCATACTTTTGGTTAGTTACCAATCTACTCTTTGGTTGAAGGTTTTATGGTGAGAAATAATTTTTCGTTATAAGATTTTTTGAGTGTGGTAGTTATAAGTAAGCGGCAATTCAATTTTTTCATAATTATAAGCTCCAACTATTTCTGGAAGTAGTTGTAGAACTGTTACTAGAAAACTGATATTTCAGAAGCTTTTGTGCTTATTATAATTTTTTGGAAGATTTGCATACATACCACTCAATTCCTATATATTTACATATGTAACACCTAAACCTTAATTTTTATCTACACACCACCTTACCTATGCATCAAAACGGTGTATTTCACTTTTAAAGCTAAAATGGTGGTATTATGATGTAAAAGATTTATAAATGTAAAAAGTCAAGTTTATATGTTAGATATATAATACATAGGAATTGGGTGGTACGGCATGTAAATGCCTTTAATTGTTTTTTGAAAATGTCTGTCTTAGTAGATCTAGCTTTACAAATTTATATTTTACCATAAAAATTTCTAGAAAACAGTTAATAATCTTTATCTACATAAATTCATGACACTTTATAGAACATAAATCCATGAAAAAACTGCCTCAAACAAATTCACAACTTGTAGAACCATATAAAAACACAATTTGCAGCTTTCCCACCCAATGGAAATATTTGTTCACCTTCTAAAACTACGCACCTCAGGTCGTCCGATCGAGGCTTCAAGAACAGGGCCAAGCTCGGCGAACTCCAAAGCCGTACGACGGCGTAATTGACTGCACAAGAAAAGTCTTCCACAATGAAGGCATTGCCGGTTTCTACCGTGGATGTGCCACCAATCTCCTAAGGACCACCCCTGCTGCTGTCATCACCTTCACCAGCTATGAGATGATTCATAGATTTCTGCATCAGGTTAGCAGCCATAATTGGAGCTTGGATGCAAAATCAAATACTGGAGATTAAAACATCTTGATATTTTTGGAAGGCCTGTTTTGTTCAGAGATCTCTCCAAAAGGTAACTAACAGTTTGATCTGTTCTAGTTGATTTGTGTCATTTAGTTTATTGCAAAAATGTTCTAGACTATTTATTTTTGTTATTGAAATGATATCTCTAACATTCTTTTTATGTGTCTAATAAAAAAAAAAGGTTGCATTTATAGTTGCTATACTCTATTGGTTAAATGCATAGTTGTTAGTTTAAGTTACTTGTGTTATTATGACAAAAAGATTGGAAAGATGATTTGTAATCTATGAGTAAATGAAAATTTGGTGTTCAAGTTTTTAGTTTGTAGATTAGTTTTATGATTTTTGAAAATTTGCGCTTTATGAGATTTATTTTAATGGTTGAGATATGGTGATTAGGGGTGTAAACGAGTTGAGTGGAGTTCGAGCTGTGCTCAAGTAAAGCTTGACTCATGAGAGTTATGGTTGGCTCGAGCTCATAACTTAAAGCTTGAATTTGACTCGTGGCATTAATGCCCGGCTCGAAAGTTTGTTTTTGATTTAAAAATGTAAATTAAACTTTTATGTAGTAAAAAAATATTTATTATAGGAAAATTAAGATTAATTAATGAAGTAATTAATATAATTGAGCTGAATCGACGAGCCCTGGAGTTGAGTTAGGCTAAGCTTGTGCTCGAGCTCATATAATATATAAGCTCGTTAAGGAGTCAAGTTCGAGTTGGCTTATTAAAATATTGCAAAAGATTGTTGTAGTTAACATCAAAACTCAAATGAGGAGGGTGGAACCCAAATATAATTGTAAGCATGAGTTTATTTACCTTAATTTTATTTAAAAGAATTCCTGTTCTA